GAAAAAACGGTTAGGAGAACCGAAGGCAACCAGTACACCAAAAAAGAGAAAGAAGACAAGTGATGCGACAGCCCAGAAGAAGAAAAAAATTGAAGACGAAGCACCAAAAAAGAAAAATCGAAGTACAGGATCAGAAAATACTGAAAAAGAAGGCCGAAAATAAAAAAAAACCTGATGAAAAAAAAAAATTACGAAAAATGACATTTTTTAACTTTTTGATGTTTTTTTCAAACTTCATAAGTTAGTTTTTTTTACATTTTTATAGTATAAATAAATTTTTGTCATGAATCTAACTCATTTCATGTTATTCTACACACTGTTAGGTACCAGAATCCACTTTTAAGTCAAAAGTCCTTGGACAAAACACCTTTTTTGACACACTAGGTCCCTTTTGTCGGACGCGGTCACATATAATAAAAAATCGTTTTGCATTATTCAAATTTTCAATCAGTACCAAGATCTATACCAATTGTAAGATTTCATTTTGTTATATTTTTCACGTTGATAAGTAAAGTCATTCCTTATCAACCAATGCACGTTTTTTAGATGATCCCCTGCCTCACCCATTTCAGGAATGACGCGACTACCACTTCCAATGCTCACAGTACTTTGCTATATCCTCCGATAGCATAAATCAAAACAATAAGTAAAAATACTATGAAAGCATTCAAAAATACTATCAATATTTATATCTGATAACACAGAATAAGTGAAAGCTGGTCGGTACTAACGCATAAGTGAACGTGTCAGTTCATGTAAATATGAATTACTCAGTTTCCTAACAGTTAAGCCCATGCGCAATTCAAGATTTGCTTGAGGAACAAAATCATCAGTATAAAACTCGTTGGTACACGTTTCGACAACCACTATGCGTGTGGATTCCGCTTTTCTTCCACTAAGTTGAAAAAACTCAAATACATCTCGCAACATTTTTGATACTTGACAGTTTTCATTAATATTTATATAAAAATTACCGCACAAGACAATATTTTGAGAATTAAGGTAATACCATGGATAATCTATCTATGTATAAAGCACCCGGCAAAACAGAAAGAAACCGATGAACAAAAATGCGTACAATTTTTAACAGTTTAAATTTAAAATAACACAGCAAGCCTCGAAATCCATATCTGACACAAAATTACTAACATCAATACTTGATATCAACAATAAAATTCATCTTTTGCAAGGATTAGTATACCTCTTGTTGGTCTAAAATACACAGATGCTACTTTGTACCCAGGCAAATTCAAGAGTACAGGGGGCATTTATATTATTCTAATGCTCAAGAATTAATCGCGAATAAATCAATTTTGACTAAATATGTTGGGACAGATAAGAAATACTTGATTGCTAAGACCAAAAATGCATGTAATATAGGAGAAGTACTAATAAAACCATATTTCAAACAAGTTTGTCGAGAAATGTTTGGATAAGAATATGCTGTGCAAATTAATAATATTCCTATGTCTGCTGAAACAGTAAGCAGACGAATACTTAACATTTTAAATAACCTGGAATTACAACTAATTGATAAGAATTGGACGATTCACCATAGTATGCCTTTCAGTTATTGATTTTGAGTTGGAGGACATGAAAGAAGAATTATTATGCACCTTAAAACTACAATCCTACACTACATCTTACGAAGTTTTTGATGCCATAAATTCATACATTGAGTCTAAAGACATTCCTGAGACAGATGGAGTAGTGGCGATGTTAGGAAAAAACACATGTGTAGTTACATACATTGGGCAATTGCAACCCACTGCATTCATCATCGGGAACAGTTGGTATCCAAAAATATAAACAAAAAATTAGACACTCTTTTAGATTACTGTGTGAAAATTGTAAACCATATTCGTAATAGCGCAGTTCAGACTCGAGTTTTCGCTTTATTGTGAGAAGAGATAAGCTTATAGATAAGGCTTTCGAGGGGAAAGGTACTGAACACATTTTTTGCCTGAAGAAATACTCTTAAATGACCAAAATTTACTACTAGCAGAACACTTGAAAACAACATATGGCTTGCAAAGGTTGCTTACTTTACTGATATTTTTTCATCATTCAATGGAATGTTTACTACCATTTGCAACGACATATATAGCGAAAAGTAACTTTTCAGTTCTCGCTGGAATTAAGAATAGAAAGCATTGATGCCACAATGAGAATAGCATTAAATCAATCGATTTAACCTAGGACGCATAAACTGGTGAACGGAGGTAAAAAAAGCCACTGATCTTAGAGTAGTTATTGTTTGTACTGTTTAACTGAAATGCATAAATATTATATTTAATAATAGATTTAGGTTTCATTTTCAATAATAGTAATTATGCCCTCTTTTAACTTTTTATGGGTCACATTAAGATTTTATTGATATTTTTGGGCCGCCACTTAAAAAAGTTTGCGGAACGTTGCCCTAGTGTTTTACATAAAGAAGGTGCTCTTTGTTAAAAGTTGTATGAGTAACTGTTCTTGAGATAAAAAAGATTTTGTGTTAACAAACACCAAAAACCGTTAAAATAAAGGATTTTTTTATTCTGTTGCGTGTATCATTTATACATCTGAATATATTGGACTTTTGAAAATATTTTTGAATTCCTCGAAGTATTTTACGTAAAAAACACTAATTATTAAAAGTTGTATCACACATAGTTTCCAATATATCAAGGATTTTGTAGTAAAAATACAAAAATTGAAGAAATAATAATTCTGCACCCTATAACATCTACGCTACTGATTAAATTATAATGCTGAGTACTCTTTTGAACTCTTTGNTGGAAGCAACAGACATTTAACTAGTTTTTATTTTCTATTAATACCTTGAATGTTGTTTTTTTCTTCAATTTTTTGAATTTCTGTTAAATATTGTTAAATAGTTTTGTATTATTCTCTGTATTTTATTTCCTTTTTTGTCATGGTTTACTCCATCTGATCAAATAAATTCATAAAATATTGTATTTTTCAATTATCTGTAACGGTGTTGATTTGTAACCATTTTTGATGAGATTTGGTATATGCCCATTTCAAAAGGCGCTTAATGCAGTGGTGTACTCAGATTTTTTGTAAAAAATTTCCTAATATGATTTCTTCATTTTTAGCACCTTAAAAGTGAAATAGTAGGCCTTGTTTTTTTTAAGAAAAATATCACTCTGTCCCAAGATACAGTTTTTTACGCTCTACAATTAAAAAAAAATTATCGAAATCGGATAATAAATACAAATTTTACGAGGGTGTTCCGCTTTCAAACGGGTCACACTGTATATAGTAGTGAATTTACATGTAATTTTTTTTATTTCAGGATAGTAAATAAGCTAAGTTAATTTTCTTGCACACCACTTCTATGTGTTTTTCAAGTGATAGCCTATAATCTAAGAGCATGCCAAGAAATTGTGTGTGGTGCGCCAATTCAAATTCTTCAGCAAATTTAGCTAGCAATGTTCGACGCTTATAAAAATTATTACAAACCGTTTTATCAATATTCATCGTAATTCCATTATGCTCACACGAAATAGACAGTTTATCCATAATAGAATCAATCTTTAATTTTAATTGACCTAGATCTGCATCCGCAACTACAACAGCAATGGTCCCAAAACTCATCCGAACAAACGTTCGGTAACACCATTCTGAGAGAGCGACATGTTCAAATAGAAAAGCCAATCCAATTCACGATTGGAGCTAGTATGCCCATGCACTATAACTTATTACACAAAAAATTGGGTTGAGGGAATCAAACGTCTAAAGACGGTTTTAAGGTCAAAAACTATTCAATCACCCAATTACTGATAACTGCCAAATTGTCAAGAAAATTGAGAATCCTGTTACTAATAAGTTTTTTTAAATACCTTAGAGAACATACTGCAAATAGCTATAGATTTGTAGTTCTTAATGTGGGCCGTGTATCTTTCTTGAAAACTAATGTACATACTCTAATGTACATTTATAAGCGCCCATAAACATTTAGTTCTATTCAAAACACTACAAATCTGATTAGCAATAAAAAATCGTTTTGCATTATTCAAATCGTTCCTATGTCTGCTGAAACAGTAAGCAGACGAGCACTTTAGCATTACAAATAACCTGGAATTACAACTAATTGATAAGAATTGGAAGATTCGCCATATTATGCCTTTCAGTTATTAATAGGACACGTGAGATGTATTGATTTTGAGTTGGAGGACATGAAAAAAGAATTATTATGCACCTTAAAACTACAATCCTACACTACATCTTACGAAGTTTTTGGTGCCAAAAATTCATACATTGAGTCTAAAGACATTCCTTAGACGGATGGAGCAGTGGCGATGGTAGGAAAAAACACAGGTGTAGTTACACACATTGGGCAATTGCAACCCACTGCATTCATCATCGGGAACAGTTGGTATCCAAAAATATAAACAAAAAATTAGACACTCTTTTAGATCACTGTGTGAAAATTGTAAACCATATTCGTAATAGCGCAGTTCAGACTGGAGTTTTCGCGTTATTGTGAGAAGAGATAAGCTGATAGATAAGGCTTTCGAGGGGGAAGGTACTGAAAACATTTTTTGATTTTTTGACCAAAATTTACTACATAAATTTACATAAATAAATTCTTTGATGTGTTTTACACAAAAAAGTGCTCTTTGTTAAAAGTTCTATGTGTAACCGTTCATGAGATAAATAAGATTTTGTGCTAACTTAAAGCGCCAAATTGAATCGATGTTTTTTTTTAAATTAGGTTAAAGTAACAAATCGTTATCTACGAAACAGATCGAAATTAAGAAATGGGACTCTTTGAGGTTATAAAGGAACGTTTTATATTTAATTTTACCAAAATTTTTGCTTTTGTCCAGAGTTTATTTCATAATTACACATTTTTAAAAATCGCCGATTTAAGCTGACATTTTTGAAAAGAGAATAAATAAAATAAAAGAATAGAGTAAGAAATAAAAGAGAAATAAATCAGAAATGAATGATACCTAATAATAAAAAATTAATAATAAAAAAGTTATTACCAAATGGTTGTTTTCTAAAAACAGACAAATACCATTTCCTTCCGAGTTTCTTTAAAGTTTCCGCTTCGTGTAATGGATACATTTTTAATACTATATTGGCTTCCATACAAACTTGTAAAATCGATTGTCCTTCATAGAGAGTAACCATGTTGAAACCGGGGACGTGGTGATCTTCGAGTAAAGCCCTAATATTTTCCAATTCGTTTCTTACGATTGTTTGTTTTTCAGCCGTGGTGAGTAAATCGTCAACGTGCATTCCCTCTGAAAGAAAATCGTCTAATTCGCCAACGGTAAATTCCCTCATTTGACCGTGAATATCCATTTTTACTAATTCCATTTCTTCGGCACATTCCAAAAATTTTATTTTTGACGCAGAAACATGAAGATAAATTGGCTAAAAAATAATTGTATTTAATACAATTTTATTATAAATTGATTACAAATACATATAATTAACTTACTTCCTCTTTAATATATGGTTGCCTAAATACTATAAGTTCTCCTCCACCATTTCTTCTTCGCCCTTTAATTTTTTCAATAATCCATTGAAGTGTTTTTGCAGAAATTTCCGGGTTTAGTTGGATAACGATATAAGTTTGTGGAAGCACAGATGGATCTTCGCTTAGTATTTCTTCGCTAACTTCCGGGATATCCATGTGTATTTCTTGTTTTGTCATAACACCTTCAACAAATGTATTTTTTATGTTATGAAATTGTTTTTTTAAAGAATTTGCAGTTGTGACTCATTTTTATCGGTACAAATATTTTAATTTCGATAATAAGTTGTTTTGAAATAGCAGTATTTGATATTTAGAAACGAAATAGGAACTTATACCACGTGTACTAGTAAAAATAGACTACGTTGACCGACACAACGACGTATTCTTTGGTTCACTTCTTTTAATATTTAGTGGGTCGCATACTGAATACGAACGAGTAATGTATTAGTACTGCAACTGTAATTACTCGTGTGTTAAATGCTTTACATAACTAGGCCATTTATTATTATTTTAATTACTGTTTTCTTACCCCGAAGTTGTGCCAAAGTCTGGTGAATTCCCCATAGCTTAGTAATGTGTGGAGTTTCAAAATCACTTTCACCATTAAGCCCTATTGGCAATGATTCGACTCTTCGCACGTTATCAAGACGGGACATTTGAAACATTTATGATTGGGACAGGATCTGGAAGGAAAGGGAATTTCAGGCTATAGATTATTTTTAGTTTTTTATTTAATTTGATACAAAGATTATTTTCATTACTTTGATAAATAAGTATATGCAGGTATTTTGACCTTGTTGTACAAAAAAATTTAAAAAAACATAAAATATCATTTTTCAAAAACGCTATTGAAGAAAAAATGGAAGTGGACTCCATCGTAGAGATGTTTCAACGATCCGAAGAAAAACATAATTTGAAGTACTGTTTTTACGTAAGAGACGGAGACAGCAAAACCTTCAAAGGTATTATGGGTGCTCAGCCCTATGACAGTGTAATAGTAACTAAAAAAGAATGCGTCGATCACGTTCAGAAACGGATGGGCACACGATTACGAAATCTAAAAAGAAACACCCGCGGATTGGGAGGCAAAGGAAAATTAACAGAAAAATTAATTGATGAACTTTCCTTATATTATGGATTGGCTATTTGGAGAAATTGCGATTCCGTGAAGGACATGAAAAAAGAGATCTGGGCTACTTTGTATCATAAAATTTCAACAGATGAAACTCCAAAGCATGACAATTGTCCAGTTGACTCGTGGTGTTCCTAGCAAAAAGCGTACGCTTTGTCAGAAATCGATTAGTACACCCACTAGCCAGCAATCGGCAATGTTTTCAACGCAGTGAAACCTGTGTACGAAGAACTATCAAGGGAAGATCTTTTGATAAGATGTTTAGGGGGATATACGCAAAACAGCAATGAAAGTTACAATGGCGCGTTATGGTCTATCGCACCAAAAACTATTCATACTGGCAAGAAAGTGATTGACATTGCGTCTGATATAGCTGCTTGCAATTTTAATGACGGTCTTACAAGCATTATGGAAATAATGCAAACACTGAAATTAACAACTGGAAGATCGTGCTTCGACTTTTGTCATGAAACGGATTTAAATCGCATTGCTCGCGCTGAGAGCTCCATGACTGCTGAGGCTGAAGAAGCTCGTAGAAGCCTACTGTCAGACAGAAAAGCTGCAGAAGATGAAAATAAGCTTCATGAAGGACAGCTGTATGGTGCAGGAATCGCTGATTAGATGTATCTAGAAAAAATATACAATTTTTGACATTCGAAAACTTTAAACGCGGTTTTCTGGAAACTACATTTTTACACACGATTGCATACGATAACTTCCACATTTTTCAACGGATTTTCAAGATTTTTTTTTTAAGTTTGTGTTATCGTATTCTAGGTAAGTACGTAGCCGTTTTTCGATATGTCTCAGATTCTCTGTTTTACAACCATTTTTATGTACGTTTTTTATCGATAAATACGACATTTTTTGTAAAATCATCACCATTTCGTCAAAAATGAATATTTTTTAAAAATCCTACGTAGTGCCCTAATTTTTGAGTTTACTAAAGTAATCGTATTCAAGTTTTAATAATTTAACTTACGCGTTAGGAGAAATCCTGCGCACAGTTTGACCCTGCACGATTTGCAAGCCTAACATTACGGACATCTAGCGGGTGCAATTTTAATAACTGTTAATAAATAAAATATATATTTAAAACTAGGAAAGTGGCTTATTCACACCCTGCAACCCGTTTTTAAAAAACTTCTTTCTTCTGATTGCAAAAAAATTTTAAAAATACCTATTATTTTCGAGTCTTCAAGGTGGCATACCCCAGTAACTTAACATATTAAAGAGGCAAACAGATTCCAGAAAGAACCTGGCAAATATAAAGAAAAAGCTTGGCTGTCTTTTGCTATCTTGATACATAGACATAATGTTAAAAATTATCAAAATAATATTGCTTGTTTTACAAGTAATAATATTATTACTTGTAAAACTACGCAGTGCTTTATATTAAATATTTCAACGCAGTGCTTTATCGAAGGTCCACATGCATCCTTACGCGAATTTGCTCAAGTACATGTACTTACAAACAGGAATCGAAAAGTTTGGTTTGCGAGATGCCAGCTGCATAGAAGAATAGAAGTACAAAAATGAGTTGGATTGGATTCCTTCGATCTGGTGTACTACGGAAGTGGTAAAGAGTCTTGCACCTAAATCCGACAAAAAGGTGGCTCGAGTAAATGTGACAATTTTAGAAAGGTCGTACAAGTCCTAGACAGATACGGAATTTGCAATTATTTGACCAGTATAATTAAAGAAGAAAACGACCGTATCTCCTCTTGGAAAGAGGAGTGCTCTGAAATAACATTTGAATAATCATAGAACATACTCTAACATAGTCTTTTTGTCTAATGAGACAAAAACAAAGGTGAACACATAAGTTGAAGCTCGACTTTACTATAGAATTGAGGACGTGATTTGGTTACTTGACCATGGGGTACAAGTACTTTGTTACTTGTTTAAGACCTGTTGATCTGTTAAATTCTGAATTCGTAGCTTAAGTGTATTGGTATATACATACCAATGGTATCTATTATTATTATTATTATCATTCACTCATGTCTACAGGGTGGTTTTCAACTTGTACGCAAAAACTTGGGGAATTATTCCTCTACGGGGATAATGACTAATAGGCGAGAAACTTTGAAGTAAAAGTTTTTCTGTTTCCCAGATATCCGTGATATTTACTTTCAAATCAAGAATGCATAGCACATTTTAAAATGTTTACTACCTATTAATATTGATCAAATTTTAAAATAACATCACAGCAAGTTTTCCAAGGTATTTCCGAAATCTTTTATACACAATTGGGCTCCCTAAATCTACGGTCTCCCACTAGCGCGGCCTAAACCAGGGTGTTGGTGAATTATCTCAGAAGCAGCATGTATTCGATTTTGCAATGTTACTCAGTATAAACTTCCGTGGCGTACACTATGCTTTTTAAGTGACCCCAAAAATAAAAATCAAAAGGATTGAGGTTGGGCAATCGCGGTGACCAGGTCATTGGACCATCACGGCCTATACATATTCCAGGAAACACATTATCTAGATGTCGCCGATTATATTGGATATCTAGGAAAGTAAAAACTTTTACTACAATTTTGTTCACCTATTAGTCATTATTTGTCATAAGGAATGAATCCCCAAGTTTATGCGTATAGATTGAGAATCACCCTGTATTTCTTGTACATTTCAATGTCTTGTTTCATTTTGGCAACCTTTAGTATTCTCTTAGTTTTGCTCGTATCTTCTCGTCTCTATATTCCGTATGTAATGTGGGCCAAACCATCTCGTTCAAAAATCCGGAATATCCTGTTCCTCTATTGGTCTGTTTTTTTAAGTCTGCTTGGTTAAAACTGCTAAAGATATTAAGTCCAACATATTTGAACATATCATAAGTTTGCATCTAATTGGTTCTTTGACAGTTATCATCACGACTTTTCTTCTATAGATGGATATAGTAATGTTCAGTTGTTGACTTAAGGGGCCTATCCACAGTTATGCATGCATGTCGAGCATTGCAAGCTATCAAGCTATGTATGCAAGATTGACCGTGGATGGGGTTGCATGAGACGGTTTCCTCGGCATGACAATCTGACATGAGACAATTCAAACCGTTTTGAATTGCTGTGGGTGGAGTATCTGGCTTGCACGCAATGTGGCGTGCTGTGGATAGCAATGCTGTCATGCATTTCGTCATTCCATCTGTAACCTTTGTGAGGTAAACACCACTTTCAACATGGCCTGTGGGAGCGAAAAGTCCTTTTGGATGGAATTTTTTGAAATATTTAGAGAGCGTGAGGATAAAAACGAACGGTTGAAGGGATATGATGTTTTATTAAAAAAATATCAGGAAAAAGATAAAAATGCAACTGTGGACACTTTACCATCCGAACCAACTATCGATGTGAGTTAAAAAAGGTGAAGATGAGCGAAAAATCAGGGGCCGCATCGAAAGATATTTACACTGCGTCTTTATGGTATTTTGATCACCTAAGTTAACTTAGGGACCAAGAAACAGCGGATGTTGGCATATCAACATTAGATATTGAAAAAGGAGAAGATATAAGTAAATAAACACAAACCTTTAATGATCAAAAACTTTATTTTATAAATCCCAAATTCAAGTGCTAATTATAATTATTATTATATTGTCTGTTGAAATGGAACTGCACCAATGGTATTAACATATGTACGAAATTTATCTCTTACTTCTTTTGCAAAAATGTGTTGAATTTCGCGCATTTGTGTTGTTATTTATGGGTAATAACTACTCCCCAGAATGAGTGTTATCATTACGTATATTTCCTTCCCTATATGTTTGCCCCCGGTTCTTACTCAGATAATTATATAAGTAACAACAAGCCAGAACAATGGTAGCACGTTTTTCGGGGGATAAATTTATCCCATTATTATAAACATTTTCAAAACCTGTAATTACAAATGTCCTTTTCCAATGTTAAAGCCCTTTGGCTATATGGCTTCATTATATTTTCTTTCAAAGGAAAAGCGTCATCTGCTATAAATATGTATGGCACCTTTTCTGGAAAATTTGGTAGTTCTATTGGATTTGGGAGTTTTAATCTGTTTTCTTGAAGTTTTTCATAAAATTTTGTTACGGTAAAGACTCCACCATCTGAAATTCTACCATTTGATCCAATATCAGCCATTATAATTTCATCAGCACTATGCTGTGAGTCTTTTTGTAGTTAAAATAGTGGCTACCTGAATTTGCTGGTTTTTTAATCGCTACATGTTTTCCATCTATTGCACCTAAGCAATTTGGGGAATTCCATCGGCTATTAAAATTTGATGCTATTTCTTTCCAGGCCTCTTCATTTCTTGGCATCTAGAAATTGTAAAGTATATTTAAATTTACTTTTATCTTTTGGCATAGTTTAGGTGAAAAATACAAACTAATGTAATTTTAAAATGGTATTTTTAGGCACCAGAAGATTCATTCGAAGCCGAATCAACTCCATCACGCCCAAAAAAACAAATATTGTCCAATGAAAGAAATGAATTTCTAAAAAAAGGCTGTTAAACATTTAGACACAATAAGTGACGAGGATTTCTGCCCGGCACAGTTTGGGCGTCGCAATACAGAAAACTTTCCGTTGAGCAGCAACTGTATGCCAAGAAGCATATTGATGACATTCTGTATCATGGTCGCCTTTCAAAACTAGGTCCTTCGCCTACCCTATCAATCACACCATTGCCTTTCGTGAGCCCATCATCGTACGACTCAAGTTCAATCACTACGTCGTATATGTATCAAATTTCGTTCCTTTGTAAATTAGTAATCTTAGAATATCTTCTAGGCGTACTCTATCGAAAGAAATCTTCGTTACTCTTCTTTATTTTCAATCTGCGCTTATAATTTCTCTTTCAGAATGCTTGTAAATAATTTCATTGTTGTGCTTAGAAGAACTTGTTCTTTGTTATGCTTGTTNTTTTACATAAAAAAGGTAGTCTAAGTAGTCTAGTTCAAAGTTGTGTGAGGAACCGTTCTTGAGATAAAAATGATTTTGTGTTGAAACACACTAAAAATCGTTAAAATAAGGGATATTTTCATTCTGTAGCCTGTATCATTTATACATCTGAATATATTGTACTTTCGAATACATTTTTCAATTCCTCGCAGTATTTTACGTAAAAATACTTGTAATTAAAAGTTGTATCACAAACAGTTTCCATGATATCATGGATTTTGTAGTAAAAATACAAAAATTGAAGAAATAATAATTCTGCACCCCATAACATCTACGCTACAGATTAAATTATAATGCTGACTACTTTTTTGAATTCTTTGGTGTATTTTACATAAAAAGGGTAATCTGTGTTCAAAGTTGTATGAGGAACCGTTCTTGAGATAAACAAGATTTTGTGTCGAAAAACACTAAAAATCGTTAAAATAAGGGATATTTTCATTCTGTAGCCTGTATCATTTATACATCTGAATATATTAGACTTTCAAATACATTTTTCAATTCCTCGCAGTATTTTACGTAAAAACACTTGTAATTAAAAGTTGTATCACAAACAGTTTCCATGATATCATGGATTTTGTAGTAAAAATACAAAAATTGAAGAAATAATAATTCTGCACCCTATAACATCTACGCTACTGATTAAATTATAATGCTGAGTCTCCTCTGGACTCTTTGATGCATTTTACATAAAAAAGGTAGTCTAAGTAGTCTAGTTCAAAGTTGTATGAGGAACCGTTCTTGAGATAAAAATGATTTTGTGTTGAAACACACTAAAAATCGTTAAAATAAGGGATATTTTCATTCTGTAGCCTGTATCATTTATACATCTGAATATATTAGACTTTCAAATATATTTTTCAATTCCTCGCAGTATTTTACGTAAAAACACTTGTAATTAAAAGTTGTATCACAAACAGTTTCCATGATATCATGGGTTTTGTAGTAAAAATACAAAAATTGAAGAAATAATAATTCTGCACCCTATAACATCTACGCTACTGATTAAATTATAATGCTGAGTACTCTTTTGAACTCTTTGGTGTATTTTACATAAAAAGGGTAATCTGTGTTCAAAGTTGTATGAGGAACCGTTCTTGAGATAAAAAAGATTGTGTCGAAAAACACTAAAAATCGGTAAAATAAGGGATATTTTCATTCTAGACCCTATATTATTTATACAATAAAGTATATTAGAATTTCGAACACATTTTTGATTTCCTCGAAGTATTTTACGCACGTTTAATTATAAATTGTATACGAAACAGTTGTTATGATATCAACGATTGTAGTAAAAACACAAACATTCAAGGTATCGTAATTCATATCACATCTACGCCACTGATTGAAACATTATGTACATAAATAAATTCTTTGATGTGTTTTACACAAAAAAGTGCTCTTTGTTAAAAGTTGTATGTGTAACCGTTCATGAGATAAATAAGATTTTGTGTTAACTTAAACCGCCAAATTGAATCGATGTTTTTTAAAAATGAGGTTAAAGTAACAAATCGTTATCTACGAAACGGATCGAAATTAAGAAATGGGACTCTTTGAGGTCATAAAGGAACGTTTTATATTTAATTTTACCAAAATTTTTGCTTTTGTCCAGAGTTTATTTCATAATTACACATTTTTAAAAATCGCCGATTTAAGCTGACATTTTTGAAAAGAGAATAAATAAAATAAAAGAATAGAGTAAGAAATAAAAGAGAAATAAATCAGAAATGAATGATACCTAATAATAAAAAATTAATAATAAAAAAGTTATTACCAAATGGTTGTTTTCTAAAAACAGACAAATACCATTTCCTTCCGAGTTTCTTTAAAGTTTCCGCTTCGTGTAATGGATACATTTTTAATACTATATTGGCTTCCATACAAACTTGTAAAATCGATTGTCCTTCATAGAGAGTAACCATGTTGAAACCGGGGACGTGGTGATCTTCGAGTAAAGCCCTAATATTTTCCAATTCGTTTCTTACGATTGTTTGTTTTTCAGCCGTGGTGAGTAAATCGTCAACGTGCATTCCCTCTGAAAGAAAATCGTCTAATTCGCCAACGGTAAATTCCCTCATTTGACCGTGAATATCCATTTTTACTAATTCCATTTCTTCGGCACATTCCAAAAATTTTATTTTTGACGCAGAAACATGAAGATAAATTGGCTAAAAAATAATTGTATTTAATACAATTTTATTATAAATTGATTACAAATACATATAATTAACTTACTTCCTCTTTAATATATGGTTGCCTAAATACTATAAGTTCTCCTCCACCATTTCTTCTTCGCCCTTTAATTTTTTCAATAATCCATTGAAGTGTTTTTGCAGAAATTTCCGGGTTTAGTTGGATAACGATATAAGTTTGTGGAAGCACAGATGGATCTTCGCTTAGTATTTCTTCGCTAACTTCCGGGATATCCATGTGTATTTCTTGTTTTGTCATAACACCTTCAACAAATGT